TCCTGCACGTCCCAGTAATGCGTGCATATAGATGTGTGTCTCATGAAGCATATTGCAGTACTGGATGCAGTCAGGCCCCACATCCCCCCTCTTCACACTCTCAGGCTGAGGGACAGGGCTTCTTGCTCATGGCCTGGAGGAGGCAGAGTTGTTTGGCACACTGCTGGAAAGTAAGTGACTTCCACAAGAGACAAAACTGTGGCCCACAAGCTGACACTTCCTGCTACACACAGGGCTGACAAAACTTCAAGGGCTACAGGCTGCAGGTGGAGCTAAGCCTCTGACCTTGTAAGCAAGTCCCAAATAAGTGTCTTCTTTTCTAAGCGTTGCAGTGGTCATGGTATCTCTTCACAGTGATAAAACCCCTAACTAAGTCACCATCCTTTGGAAAGGGTCTTGTATTCCCATTGTGTCTCAGATTCAGAACAGAGGCAGAGAGAAAGCAAGCAATGCACCCATCTTCTTCTGTTCTTGGCCTTTGCTGAGCTCTGAGCCACAGACAGCACCACAGCCTGTCTGCTGCACTGGACCTCGTCTCTGCCAGCTTTGGCTGGTTACTACTCTGCATCTTGCTCCTTTCCCAGCTCTCAGGGTGCCTGGGTCCAAGGAAGGTGGCTAATGTAATGTGCTGTCTGAGTTGGCCTCTGCCTGAGGCTCTGTCCCTGCGGCTCTGGGACAGGAAGGTGGCTGGTATGATAAGAAAGAAGCATTGCACACAATGTCACCAAGCACTGGGTTGATCATCCACTGACTAGGCTTTGTTTACTGTCACCAAGCACTGACTGGGGTGTTTATCACTATTTCTTTCAGTCATTTTTCTCCTTTTAGTCTATTCCCCCACCCACTGTTTCCATAATCTTGCAGTTTTGTTTTATACTTTTAGTTTTTAAACTTGCTTCTATCCAATCCTTCTTTGGTTGTTGCTTTTCCAGGCGGAAATACAGCCATGTGTGAGCATGACCCTAAGTGTTGAGACCATAGAGACAGTCAAAGGAGACTGTCAATAACAGAAGAAGACCCCATAGCTTGGCAGAGTTGACATGTTTACATACTTAGGCTTTGCATGTGTGTCTGGGAAGAATGAACATGCAGGTTGTAGGTGTGAAAGTTTGACCTCACTGGAGATGGTTTTAGGGCAGATGGTTAGAAAAGGAGGCATTTGGTATAGGAGATGGCTGAGGTAAGCAACTTCTTGATATGTGATTCCACATGAGTTGGCCACAAGTATCCTGCATGGACTGAACTAAAGTAGAACTCAAGCACCAAGGCCCTGGTCACAGTTCAGATGCTTACAAGCCAGGGTGATTTGAGTCGTCACTCTCAGTTCTCAGTTTCCACACACAGAATACCAGGAGAAATTTAGCAGATACTTTATAGGCTCAGTAAGTGAGATGCCTAGGAAAAGACCCTGTGTTGGAGTCCTACACATTCCAACCATTTGTAGTTATAATTAGGTATATTTATGGTCAACTGAGGATTGGGAAAATATTGTGGGTCAACAGAAAGGGTGGGCCAACTAGACACTTTCGTTTTTCTCTATGACTGAATCTATGTCCATTTGTCTTAGCATCAGAGTGGAGAGGCGTTCCTTTGAGGAGACCACAGAGGACATCCTCCCAAAGGGTGATCATGGGTAAAAATGCCAAGCTCGTTGAGAGAATTTTCCGAAGCCAGTCAGCTAAGAAACAACACAGGCTGCACACTAAGACCCTCTGGGACACACCCTTTCTCTCAGCTTATCACACCTTAGTCTCTGAGAGCTGAACTTCTAGTATCACTAATACAACTTTTGATCTTGACTTACTGTCACATATTCATTCATCCACAAAACCTTCTAGGTCAGCTACTATGTATGAATCTCTATGTCAGCTAAACATGGTTCCTAGGTCCAAGGATCTTACAGAATTAAGGAGGAAAAGACGTGTATCAAACTAAACAACTTGAAGGGAAAGTCCTAAGTTGAAGGTAAAGGTTGTGGAATCGGGGAATCTACCTGCTGTGTCCAGATTACATGCTTATCTATCTCTCAGGACTATGTGTTGTACCCGCTTGGGTAGATACTGAACACATTCTTGTAGAATGGACACTGTGAGGATACCATGGGCAAATCAAGATATGACAAGTGTATGAGGTGGGGGAGTGCTGATCTGCATAGAATCTAGGGAAGCCTTCCTCCAGGAATGGATGCTGAGAGTGGGCTCCAATTAGGTGAGTGAGACCAAGGGACTTAGTTCTAGAGAGTGCTGTAGTTAAAGGGAAGAGGAGACTTTGGAGGAAATAAAAACAGATGTCCTTCCAGCCAATATCCTGGCAGGTATACAAATAGAGACAGTGACCATATGGGGCACTTCACAGTAAGTGTTGGTGGACATGGAAAAGAATCGTGGCATCCAGCATCCATAGGAAAGGTTCAGTAGTTTTAGTTATTTTGATAAACTTTGTCCTACTGACAATTCACAATCTTTCCAGTTTCAAATCAGTAAGCTGAGGCCTTCTATCTTTGGGTGTTATCTAGATTTATTTATAGGTCCCTTTATTTAATTTTCTCACCAGCATTTTGAGGCAGGCACAAAAATCCCAACAACCTCATTGAGGAAAAGAAGGATGAAGGCGTTTGACTGACATGTGGCTGAATTTGGATGCAAATCTATGTCTGTACTGTGAAGTGGCTTATGTTCTCTAAAATTATGTTAAATGTCTAGCCATAAGCATGGCCCTGTTTGGCTATGACATCTATAAGAAGGTACTGAGGTTAAATGAGGTCATAAAGGTGGCGCCCCTAGCTGGCATCATTAGTGGTCCTCTAAGAGAAGATGACACATGAGTCAGCTAGCTGCCTTTCTTCTCCTCCCTCTTCTTCATGATTTTATCTCTCCATTCTTTATTTCGATTGGCCCTCAGGAAAATGGCTATGTGAGGACACAAGTGCTATTTCTAAATGACACAATGCATTCCCTGGTGACAGCAGAAAATGATAAGAACTCAAATACTCAAGCTATCATTTCCAGGTTCTTACAGTAGTATTCTCTCCTCCTGAAACTTCCTTAGCCAATGGAGGGAATGAAGGTCAGAGTCTGGAATACTCTCTGATGTTTTCATTCAGTGTTATCATGACTAAGGAACAAGCATTTGTGATCTTCAAGGTTTGGCACAGTATGTATTTAATAGCCTTAGACCCACAACTGACACTTGAAAATAAAAATGTTCTAATTTTCCATAAGACTGACATGGACATGCCTTGGACAAGTAGAGCTGCCAGGCCTTCTCTGGATGCAGAACTAAGGATAAGCTAAAGTGACACCTAAATGTTTGAGTGTGGGGGTAAAAGTATCTTTGCCTCATTTGATTCCTCTCTGGGTAAATAATCTGGGACATGATAAAGTGTCTGAATCTGGGTCTCATCTAACACATATCCCTCCCCTCAGTATATTTCGGCATTACCCAAACTCTTTGGTTCTTCTTTTGTTAATCTGTAAACTGTAGGTACTACCTTGCCCTGATCAGCCCTGACATGACTCCAAGAACCCAAGAAATATTTGGTAAATAAGACATTGCCATCATGGAAAGTAAGCCCAAGAACTTCCATTTTAAAGTAAGAATTTTAGCACTAAGTCAGTATTCTTCTTTGTTTTTGTAAAAGGGAAAAATAAGTAAAACCATGCATGGGGTGGGGGAACTTGTCCCTAGAGACAGTCACGTAATCATCTTCTTGGTCTCTGGGCCATGTTTCTGTCAATGTACCTCTATGCAGACAAAGCAGGGTGCTCATCCTTGTGAGCAGGGGCCCGCTAGATGCTTATCATGGCATGGCAGAGTGTAGTAGGGTGAATTCACTTCTTCTAAGCTCCATAATCAAATTCCCTAAGTTTTCATGAAAGCCATCATATTCTACATGCTTGTTAACTAGACGGTCAAGCCACACCCCTCTGAAACCTACTATAGAGAACACACAAGGGAAGGGAGCAGGCAAGCCTATCTTTGAAGTAGGCTTAAAATACAAGAACATAGGCATTCAGGCAGGCAGAGGAAGGAAGGAGCATGCTGTACCCACCTGCCACTGCTGATGAGGGGCTTATTTCTAAGACACACACAGCACAATGCACACACAATGCAGAGAGAAAACAAAAGACATAGATCACACATTTCAGATGGTTGGTGGACAAAGTTCAGTACATGTCAAACTTGTTACATCTGAAGTGCACATGGAAAAATGGGTCTCTCTCCACTCTGTTCATCAGATGCTCCCCTCTCACCAAACCTTGGCAAATAAACACATATACACGCACATGATATACCACCGTAAGCTGACTCTGGTCTACAGGATGGATGTTGCATGGAAATATGAGCACAGCAGTGTGGTAAGATGGAGTGAGGAAGGAGGAGGCCTTCCACAGTAGCCATTTGTGGTCCCCAGGCATCCCCATCCGTGAGGAGAAACAGACCTCCAGAAAAAGGTCTGAGGTTTTTGGAGGAACAGAAGGGCCTCCCAATGAGGACTCAGGCTTCTGTTCCCCAGTTATCCCCTTGTATGAGAAGATGGCCTGATGATCCTCATGAGAATCGGGATGACAAGGATAGTCATGGTTTATAACTAGGACTGTGATCCCAGAAGCACGGATTCTTAGTATGGACGTTATCACATCTCCCAGTTGTTTCTCGTTGGTTCTCACAAGTTCTGTCTTCTCATTTGTCTTCAGACGGCATTACTGTTGAACCGTCCTATGGTTCTCTGTCCCATACGGAATCCACAATCAAAGTTGATTGAGAATTTGGTTTACTCCTTTGGAAAGGAGAAAACCTGGCCAGAATAAATTATCTTGGAAACATGACTGCGTGGCATGCTAGAGGAATGATAGGGAGAAGGATTTTTTGCAGCTAAAGGTGGTGGGTTGAACAATATGGATGGAAACAGGCCAAGCAGACTGTGCCTATTACCCTCCCAAGCTCCTGGAGCTCCCTCACATAGCCAAGCCCTCCAGATTCAGGCTTCCTGCACTCACCATACAGTGTGATGCTGGCATTGGTGTTCCCAAGCTTATTTGTGGCCACACAGGTATAGTTGCCATAATCCTTCTCTGAGACGTTGAAGAAAGTCAAGGTGGATATGCGGCCTTTGTTCTCAATCCTCACTCCATCCAGGCCAGTGGCTAACCTGCAGCAGGAGAAAGCACTATTGGTCTGGACTCACTGTCCCAGCAGAAGCAGCAGGTATTAAAAGAAGGCAAGGGTGTGAGTCCTAGAATTATCGCAATGAGGTCCTATTAAAAATGCCCTTTCTTCTAACCCAGCCCATCAACACAAGCCTTAAATGTCATGTCTTTTATTGGATGGAAAAGGGAACAGTCATACTCAAAAGGAAGCTCCCTGGAAGCTAACCATGTCTATAACTAAGCCAAGATTCTAAAACAAGGTCAATTCATTCTGTTGACTTCCCAGCTTCCTTCAATTTTTTTTTCCCTTCTCACTTCTGATTCTAAAAGGAAACTCGGTTACAAAGGAGGTTATAACACATTTTTATCTTGCTTTATTTTTCCCCTGGAGTTATTACCCTCCTTCTGGAGGATGCATGATCAATCGGCTCTGCTTCAGAGTTGCCCCACTTCCTTCAAGGTACCTGGTATCTTCTTTGAACCACTGGAATTCAGCCATGGGGACAGCGGAGGCTTCACAGCTCAAGATGCCCTTCTGACCAACTGAAACACCAGTGTTTTTGGCTTTTGAGATATAGGGAGGGTCTGTGGAAACAAAAGCAAGCAAGCAAGAAAAAAATAAAGAGTGATTCCAGAGAAGAAGACATATGGACACATCCGTCCACTGGACATATGGACACAACCGTCCACCGGTGACACCCTCCTCTTAGTAACAACCACTTATTTTTATTTTGTGAAGATGTAACGTTTAAATGTGATTATTATATTTGATTCTCAGGTCTTCAGCTCAATTCTAAATTAGTCATGGTCCTTACTCACTGGGAGCTCTGAGAGTCCCAGGCAGACTCTAAATGATAACACATGTGTTGCTGAGCAGAGCAATCTGATAAAACACTGCCCTTCCTGTTGGCAGGCCCTTGAGTGTGGGGCTTTGAGAAAAGGGCACTGTCACTTCTAGATTGTAGTTTTCATCCCTGCCCCTTTCCCTCTGGAACTCCCCGACAGCAGATCAACTCACAGTTTACAGTGATTTTTACTTTCCGCACATCAGGCGCGGCGACATCGTTCAAGGCGCTGCACTCGTACTCCCCGGACTGGTCCCGTTTGATGTCAGAGATTTCCAGGTATTCATCCTCGCTCACAAAGCCCTGGCCTTCTGGGAAAAGAGAGATGGGGCGGAAAACAATGGAGAATGGTTACTCTGGAGACAGAAACATTATCCAATCTGAGAGTGTAAAGGGCAGAGGCAAAGCCAGGGAATGGGGTTGAGAATCCAACAAAAAGATAGGAGCTACAAAGTAAGACAGTCTCTGACGGAGTCTTGAATAAATGTATATA